GGGCGGGCTAGCCGGGCCGGGTCGTGACATAAAGCATGGTTTTCTCCCATGCGAAAATTGCCTAAGTATACAAAATACAAGCAGGATAGCATAACATTGTGATGCATGCATATGTAAACCAAAATGCAAAATTATGCCAAAAATGTAAATATGCACCCAAGAAGTGTACATACATGCATCAAAAAGCATGAAAGTGGCCAAAATACAACTATATGCGCATGAATGTAAATTTGAGTGCACATTCCAATCAACAAGAAATTGCCTAAAAAGAGAACCGAAAATTGAACAAGAATAACTTTAAAAAGATGGACATGCTTCTCGAGGTAAAGCTCAATTTAAAATAAGTTGCATAAAAAAGTGTGTACAACTTTTAAAAGCATGCCCAAACTCCAAAATTTATAATCACGTCTGTATTTCAACGAATATCACATTGATGGAAAGAGTATGATTTAAATCAAGATAGCTCCAAAAAGCATATGACCATTATATGATTAAAATCTATCATAGAAACATATCACATGCATGTGTGCCTAAGAAGGTTAGAAGCTGGGAAATACTCCAAATATTTTAATATATCTGGTTAATGAAAAAATAGAAAAGAAGAAAAGGAAAAATATGAGAAAACATGGTTGTATTTCCCTTGATGTACTTATTAATTTGTAGGAGAAATACATTTATAGTCATTGAATTGTGTTTCATTTATTTTTTGGCCTTTTTTTGAAGTAATCTCTATAGTGCTTTTTAGAAAAGATGCCTATTTTTTTAATCCTCTCATTTTCCCATCAAATTTTCCATTCAAAAATAAATAAATTTGATTTCCTAAAATAAACCTTATTACAAGTGTGCTTTAGGAGTGAAGCAACATGCTAGATGTTCACATTGCTTGCCTCTGAAGCACAAGCTCCCGACAAAGTATGCATGTCGCACCACATTCCTGAACCACATATTAGCATAATGTGCTTGGCTCTGATCCTCTGACTCAAAACGAAATCATGGTTTATATTTAATGGTTTGATTCAGCATATGCCACAAGAACTAAGAACAAACATTTGTTTTTCCTCATTGTTTCTTGTACTTCTTGAGTCATTGTTCATTATTTCTAAGCTCTCTCCCATTGGAACTTAATTCTTAGTGGTTCTTCTTTTCACTCTTTAGTACACTAGTTTTCATATACACTTCTCACTGGTTTTTATTGTTGGTGCTAGTATCTTTTTGTTCACAAGCTTATTCCCAAAAAATGATTCTTGATGTCTCACGTTCATACTCTCTCTCACTTCATGCTACCGCCATCCCTCAATTCTAGTTGGTCAATAAATCTCATAAGAATTCTATTTTTTAACTACTCTTTCATCACTTTGTTATTTATATATTTGATTCGAATAACTGAAAATTAATATTATTGAACACAATATTGTTTTTTTAGAAAATTATTGCCAAATGGGGCTAAAATTTGGCTAGTTAAATGATTAGTATATGCATATAATATATGAATTTATGATACTTGAACATATTGTTTTATTGAAATCAAAAAACAAAGGTTACAAACAACCTATCAACAAAAAAAAAAAGCCAAACAACGGCCACTAAAAAAGAGACACACTAAACAAGTAATCTTCCTCAAGAATTTTAAGAAATTCTTGAGGCAAGTACAAAAAATTTTCATCCCCATATTTCCACAAAAAAACACTTTCAATAGCCTGTTGAGCACAAAAATGGGTTGCTTTATTACTCTACCTCGGCCTATGCACAAACACCACCGAGTTGAACAATTTTATCCAATTGAGGTAGGGGTGCAAACAAGTCGAGTCGAGCTCAAGTCAGAGGGTGTTCGAGTCTAGCTCGCCTGTCAAATACCAAGCTCGAGCTCGAGCTCGAGCTCGAACTCGAGTCAAGCTCAACTCGACAAAGGAAAAAAAGGATCGTCGAGCTGCTCGAGCGGCATTTCGAGCTCAATCCGTCCGTCAATGCCAGCGTCCGCTGTCCATCACTAGGGCCAGCATCCGTTGCCCTTCGCCAGCTCCAGTATCCGCTGTTCGTCTTTAGTGCCAGCATCTGTCGTCCATTGCCAAGGCCAGCATCCGTCGCCAGCTTGAGCTTCCGTCCGTCGACCTTCCTTCGTTGAGCTTCCATCCGCATCGTCGAGCGTTCGTCGAGCTTCCGTCTGCGTCCGCTGGCGAGCTTCTGTCCGCCTCCTCTAGCTATCGCCGTTGAGATTTCATCATCAAGCTTCTGTCCAACTAGCATCGTCGCTAGCTTTTCCTACGTGCGAATTTATTTTCCCGCCCACGATTGCATTTCCCGATGCTGATTTCATATGCGAGCTACTCGACGAGCTCACGAGTCGAGCAATGGGTTGTTCGAGCAATAGCTCGATAAGCTATAGAGCTCAAAACCGTGTTCGAGCTCGACTCGCGGGCTTGATAAGCTCGGTTCGTCGAGCCTGTTACCGAGTCAAGCTCGAGTCAGCTCACGAGCCAACTTGACTTGGTTGCACCCCTAAATTGAGTTGGTCAGTTTCCTGAGCTCGATCTCTCCATCTAGCCTCTTTGCATAATTTATGCATATGTACAATAACGCTTGCATTATCCCCCTCAACCAAGATTCCTTGCATTCCAAACATCCATCTATCAACTATTCTTCCAATGTATTTTAATGCAAGAAATTCCACCTGCATGTTGTCCCAGTGTAAACTACTCCAACCAGCCGCCATCATTAAGTTTCCTTGACTATTCTGAACTACCAATCCTATTCCTCTTGCATTGTTACCATGAAGAGCTCCATTAATGTTTATTTTTAGTCAATTCGGAGGAGGGGCACCATGAACAAAAACCCAACCCAACAGGTTGAATGGAATCCCAGTGCTCTGAATTTCTGTAACTCTTCAGCTGATGTAGCATTTCCACAGCATTTCCAGCAGTCACAAGAGGAGAAATGTACACATTACCACGCTTTTTATCATTCTTGTTCTTCCAACAAAGGAACACAATATTGTAATACAAAACAGCCCAGGAGATATCTTCATTTCTACATTTTCCAATCTCCATTTGCAATTCTTCAAGACTCCTAAATTTGGATAGCACGAAGCCCCACTTTTCAGCAGCTTCAACTGTCATCCTCAGCTGTTTACAACCAATTGCTACATGATTTAAATCGTCAATACCTTGGCATTCAAACGGACATCCCATACCACCTTGTAGGCCTAGCTTAAGTAGTCATTCCTCCACAGGAATAACCCCTTTATACACTCTCCACCAGAACAATCGGACTCTGGATTTAACTTGAGCTTGTAAATATTTACCACATTATCTTCCTCCATCTTGAATTATAAACAATAGAGGAAATAGATCTACCAATCGGTGTCATGATAAGCTCCATACAGTATTCGACTTCATTCACTTGGATAGGAATTTCACAGATCTTTCCCCCAAAAAATCTCCCCAAACAGATCAATAATATGTACCTTATCCCAGCTACCATCAGTAGCAATCAACTGAAATACCTTCATCCCTTCCAACCTGCATTAAATGTGGGCCAATCAATCACTACTTTATCCCAAATCCATACCTGCTTTAGGACATCAATGGATCTCCCACTACAAACCTTTTATCTAATACATCTCTGCAAACAATCTGCTCCATTACAGATAATCTTCCAGGATGCAGAATTAACTCTTTTAACCTTCCTATCCAAAGGATTCCTCCCATATTTAGCACTTAGGCCTTTCCTTAACATCCATCAGAATTGGACAGAAAGCTCCATGCAATCTGGCTCTAAGTGGCCCTATCCATTTGGTAGGAGCATGTATACCCAAACCCGCCCCCCCACCCCAACCCAAAATTTAAGAGGTCAACACACACTCAAGCAGCATAGTCATTCCCTCTCTTTCCATCTCCCTTGTCCCAAGGAAATTCCTAGAAATCTTTTCAGCTTCTATCAGCACTGCCTTAGGGATCAATGAGTGCGTCATAGCATACATCAGAGAGGGCATAAGAGTGGCATTGATTAACGTCAGCCTTCCAGCAATTGCTAACAGCCTGCTACCCCAAGCCATGACACAAGATCTCATCTTCTGAATAAGAGAGTTGTAATCACATATGCCCAATCTTCTTAAAGATAGCTTAATGCCAAGGTACTCAAACTCCTCCATCTTCTTAAAGCCAATTAGAGACGTAAATCTCTTTTTCTTCCATTACGGTGTTCCCTTGCTGAATAACACCACAGATTTACCTTGTTTAATCTTCTGCCTGAACCAAGAACAGTAATATTGCAAAGTATTGGTAATATGCATAATCTAAGTCTTAGAAACTCCTGCAGTTTGCGCATCATTTCACTTTGCAGTTTGCGCATCGAAACAAAATGAAATACGTATGCATCGCATTGTGCTTAACGCTTTGAAAATATTGCCAAAAATACTCTTTTAAAGCATTTCTTTAATCTTTCCCTCCTTCAATAGAATCTCTCCATTAATAATGCCTCAAAGCATTTGGATATTACCATACAACGATAACAATTACATGAAGTAACAATCAAATTCTTTTAAGAAAAAACAAAATTAAGGTAGTGAAGCGACCAAGGGAGTAGAGGGTGCAAGGCATGGAGGAAGGGGGCATGGGATGGGGGCCAATGGCTAGGGCTCAGAGCATGAATCTAAGGAGGAAATAATGGTATAATACAAGCTAATAAAAGAAAAGAAATGAATTATGGTACATAGAAAGTACTATATATTTCACCTAATATTTTAGTTGGAAAACATGCATCATAAATATATTGTATATTCTCCAATGATTGCGTTTGCATATTTTGAAATACCTATTGGATAAGGTTTCATCAATCACATAACTAAGGAAAAGTTCCATAGCAACGAGGAACATCATGAAAATATTTCATTCCAATTGCCCAACCCTCTCATACCCCCACCAAACCCCTTCTGTTGTATTCTATTACTTCAATTGTAGCCACAACTTAAACCAATCTTCCCACCAGAGAACAATATCACTTACCTCATTTTCTACTGCCTCTCCAATGTGAATGGCAGCTTGCACCACCCGAACACACCCCTCCTCTTGCCCCATCATCAGCAACCCCATCATCTTATGCATCACAATCACCGCTAGCTTATCAGCTGGCAAGAGGCTCAAATGATGCGCATAAGCCGCCTTATGTCTTTTTGCCTTCTCCAGCTTCAGGTCCTTCTCAATTGCACTCCGCAGCGGCTCAAACCATCCGAGGAACAGAGACTTCACATAAGGTAAGCTAGGAGCAAGCTTCTTCTCCAGCATCACCCGTTCCAACTCCTTGTACTCCTCCGCTGCTCTCTCCCACGCCTCCGTCTCTGCCTTGACTTGTCTCCTCCTAAGAGCATTGTACTTCTTCCTCGCTAAACCCAACGACTCGTGAACATTCAACAGATCATCAAAACACGGCATCCATGGAGTATCCTCCCAGAAGATCCTTTCCAGGGTTTTTCCGGGTAAAATTAGGGAGTGATCGTATCCGAACCACGGAAAATCTGCCTGCTCATCTTGTACGGTAATTGTATCGTAGATAACAGGAGATTCGAGCGTTCTCATGTGCGAAAAGGCAGTTCGAAATTTGACCTCGGGTTCCAAAGAATCTGAGCCGAGGGGAAATGGAGATGAATGGAGCGAATTCTGTGCAACAAACCTGTGGATGGCAATTGACGAACTCATATTATTGACAAACAGGTCGATTAGACGAGGAATCTTGGTTTGATGCGGCTCTCTTCTTCCTTTACATCGCCACAAAATAGGGCTTTCCCATGGAACAACAGGGAAGACGGAAGCACAGGAAGCCATTGCTCGGGGCTGTCGAGTGGGGCAAATTATTGGGTCAGGTGACCGAACGCAGAGATAGGTTCGGATAATAATAAAATATTATTTTAAAATTAGCGCAACTAAAGCGCAACTAAAGCGCAACCAAAGCGCAACTAAAGCGCAACCAAAGCGCAACATAATAATTGTGCAAATGCATTAAATTCAATCTCAAAACTTCCGATTTATTTAAAATTCTTGACGACTCAAATTATGTGCATTAAAATTTAAAAGCCAAAATCTGTTTGCTTAATTTCCGATTAAATCGCAATCTCTCAATGCGATTAGAATTGTTGTGCGTAAATTGAATTAAATCATTGGTAGATCAAAATTGTTGCTCAACCAAATTTTAAGGAAAAAAATTATGTCAATATATTCTAATTTAAATTATATTAGAATGAGCTTCAGATCTATTAGACTTATACTGAGATTATTGTTGGATGACTATGGCATCCCAAGAGGGGGTGAAGTGGGTTTTAAAACTTTTATTAAAAGAATGTGATTAAAATAATTTTAATGCTATTTGGAAAAGAATAAGTAATCGCACAATTTTTATAAAAATGATAAAGAAAAATATATGCAAGAAACGAAAATAAGATGCACAATATTTTTACGTGGTCTATTTTGTTCAGAACCTCCCTTTCTTCCACAAAAAGTAAAGGATTTTCTTCGGTGAATCCCTCTTGTTCATGTTTGTCTTCTTCATTTCGTAAGCTGTTTATGCATATCTTTCTTCTTTTCTTTTTCCCCTTTTTTTCGTTTCTGATGTTTCTTTCTCTTTCAATTTTTTGGTGACAATAGGCGACGACATTCTACCTAAATAGTAGACACATGTGATAAATTATATAATACTAAAGATTCGAGCCATAGAATTTCTCAATTCTGACACAAGATACTTATTAGATCGAATAGAATGATTTTTCGTATCCAGAATAATACCAATCCAACCCATTTCATGAATAAAATGTGACCAATTAACCAACCAACAAAACTACTTGTTAAAAATAAAATCTTGTTGTTGCATCGAAACATAGAAATGTTGACTAATCTGGCTAACGTGGAACTTGGTAAAATGAAATGGTTTAATAATTGAAAGATTAGATTATTCAGGAATACACATTGAATGCTGAGATTACGCATTGAATTTCAGGTCTGGATCCATAATCAAAAAAAAAAAAAATTTATGATTGCTCTAGAAGAAATGAAACATAAGAAACGGTAGAACTAGGACAATTATTATATGAGGTCTACCCAATGCTAGATGCAGAGGCGCATAATAGATCGATATGAACATCATGAGTTGTCACGCAAAAATACCAATTGTTGCTGATACCTCCTTCTCGGTTCTATCATCAGCTATGGGTTCGAATATAAGAGAAATTCTAGATAATGTTTGTTACCCTGAGATTTTCTTGTCTTTCCCGAATGATAAAGAGAAAAAAAATATTGGGTCAAAAGAAAGTGCTATTTTGGAGTTTTATCAACAATTTGCCTGTGTAGGGGGGGATCCGGTATTTTCTGAGTCCTTATGCAAGGAATTACAAAAGAAATTTTTTCAACATAGATGTGAATTAGGAAATATGGGTCAACAAAATATGAACTGGAGACTGAATCTTGATATACCCCAAAACGATATTTTTTTTGTTACCAAATGATCTATTGGTTTTTGTTGATCATTTGATTGGAATGAAATTGCTTGGATCGCAGCTAGACAAATAGAAGCAAGGCGAAGAGCAATGACCCGATATGCACGTTGTGGTGGAAAGATATGGGAACTAATCTTTCCTGAAAAACTTGTTATTGTAAGACATACAGAAACACGTATGTGTTCAGGCAAGGGATCCCCCAAATATTGGGTATCCATTGTTAAACCGGGCCAAATACTTTATGAAATGAGTTGAGTATCAGAACTGTAACCAAAACTGCCATGGAAATAGCTGCATGCAAAATGTTATACGAACTCAATTTGTTATTTCAGGATAGGTAAACAAGCATAAAAGAACATGGAAGGAGTATTGAGAATGAAAAAATAGGGAGAAGAAGTGACAGAATTGGAACATAAATATTATTGAATCCGTCGATCCTTAAAAAAAGAATTAAGCAAAGTTCCCTCGTTGAGGGAACAATGGAAAATTGTAATCCCCACCACGTAATAGTGAATATATACATCTTCATCGATGTTGTTTTTTAACCGAAAGACCTATAGCAAACTATCGAGACTTTGGACACCTAGAGCGAACTATCGAGACTTTGGACTATCTGGACACATACTTCGAGAAATGGTTCATGCATGTTTGTTACCAGGTGCAACAAGATCAAGTTGGTAAGGAGAAAATCTTGTTTCCTATTTGGATAGATCTCTATAATCTATGATCTATAGAACAGAGGGGACCCTTTACCTTTTAATATAAATAGATTATTCTATTTATATAGATATGGTAGAGGGGCACATCCAATCTTTCTCCGTCCATCAGTTCCTAGTTGTTTAGTGCGGAGTAGAGCAGTTTGGTAGCTCACAAGGCTCATAACCTTGAGGTCACGGGTTCAAATCCTATCTCCGCAACATTTTTGCAAAATCCCCTTTTATTTTGTATTTGTAGTAAGTAATGACTTTTTTGTTGGGAGGGAAAAATGGGAAGCAGAATATAGAGCTAATATATTCAATTCACTACTATGCATATATAGTAGTCAATTATACCAATTGAATCTTTTTTATAGTACATACTTATTCAAGAGAAGCCCAAAGAAGTGAATAGGGTACCCAAATAATGATAAATATGTCAAAATGGGTCTAATTATACCTATTCCTAATCCTAAATAGAATGTAACGACGTAGGGATCCATATGTAAACAGAGTATCTATTTACATACGCTCGAATGACCCCTTCTCATAAGAAGAATGTACATAACCCTATTCCGGCCTGGTCCGGTCTGGAATGAACTTATAATCTGATGATCGAGTCGATTCCATGATTATAAGTTCATAACTCCAGCCTTCCCCATTTTGGGTGGAAAAGATCTACTAATTCTAAAAGATAGACCTATAAGCTAAAAGAGAATATCCTAAGCAATTGCAATAATTGGGTTCATTGATATTCCTAGAATAGTAGATGTTATCACACATACAGTCATTCTCAATTCAATGGAATCATTTGATCTTAAGAGAGATCTTCTATAATTTTGCACGTGAGGGGTTATTTCTTTGTTTTGCCTTGTCATTAATAACTTGATTATTTTTATATAATAGTATATAGAAATAACGCTTGTAAGGAGTCCTATCGAAACCAATAGATATAGGCTTGCCTGACATCCACACCAGACTAAATAGAGTTTTCCAAAAATAACCTGCCAGTGAAGGAACACCCCCTAGAGATAAGAGATATAGGGCTAAAGAGAGAGCCAAAAAAGGATCTTTCATGTTTAATCCTGCATAACCTCGAATGTTATCAGTTCCGGTACGTAGACCAAATGATACAATGCAAGCAAAAGTTCCTAGATTCATGGAGATATAGAACAACATATAAGTTATCATGCTTACATATCCATCATTTTGAGTCTCCAACATTTATTCCAATAATTACATATCCAATTTGATCGATGGACGAATATGCAAGCATACATTTCATACTTGTTTGAGTAAGAGCAATGAGATTCCCCAATATCATGCTAAGAATAGCTAGGATTTTCAAAAGAATATGTCATTCAGTTGATGAGAAATAAAAAGGTATATCGAAAATTCACGTGGTTGAAGCTGAAGCTACTTTTGAAGTAAAGGAATGAAAAATAACAACTAGAGTGGGAGAGTCAGAGTCGAAAAGAGGATTCCTCACTTCTTTCTCTCATTCAAAACCGTGCATGAGACTTTCACCTCGCACGGCTCCTAAGTGATAAAAGAAAGAAGAGTAGTTCTTCTTTCTTTTTTTTATTACCTTTCTCACGTATGTATAAGATTGAATCCATTCAATATCTAAAAAGGATTACTAATCCTTAACTTTTTGAGGAATCGTTTATCAGTGATTATGAATGAATTACTTTTTCAATCATTTTGACCTTGCTTCCATAGGAGCGAGTCATAAATATTGAGAAATAGAACTATCTGATTTGATTCGTTCTCCATAGCCATGAGAAGATCATCTTGGGTTGATCCTTTTGTCAACGGATGCTCCTATTACACTCGTAGTCTCTGCAAGATGAGAACCAACTATGTAGCATCTACATCGATAATTCAAGTATTGTATACGTCATTAGTCCGATCCTTTGTAGAACTACCCGTAATAACAAATTTGCAAAAGGGCTCCGTTTATCATTAAGAGATTCATTGTTCTTGACCCTGCTTCATCTTAATTATTATTTGAACAAAAGGATCACAATAAACTTTTGGGCAAAGTGATGATTGGTCCGAGTGGGGACCTGGATTCCAATCTGACCTCTATCCATGCTAGCCAACTTTCGGGCTGGAATCCACTAATCCCTTGCAAACATGACTTCTTTAAATCAAAGAAGTTATTTGCAACCTAAGTACTCTCATACACATGGCGAGTACAACCCAATCTAATTATAATTTATCTAAGCAAATGAAAATTACAATTTGATGTAAATAATAAAAGCTCAAATTACATTACAATAAAATGATTAAAATATTTGAGGTGGTCTTACGATTATTTTTAATCACCTCACTATTTGCAAATGGAATATAAATTTTGCTAACATTAAGATAGATTTTTATTTTGGTAAAATTATACATAATATTTTAAATTAGATTTTTTTTTTGCTGATTTAAATTATAACTCCTCAAATCATATAATACTTTACAAAAAAATAGATTTGAATTAAAAATCTATGCCATATAAATGAAAATAAAAATACTTGTTTTGTTGTCCTTGTGGATTTAAAAGATTTAACATAGAAAACTTAATATAAAATTCTCAACTAGTATTTCATCAAATAATAATTATTTTCAAAAAATATATATAGTGAAAAACTAAAATAAAAACAAGTAAAATTTTAAAGAAAGAAAATAAACTCAAGAACTCCAAGAGATGTTACACGATTTAGTGCTTTGAAGCTTTCCAACCAAGAATTCGATCTCGCAAATGAAAAGAGCTATTGAAATAAAAATCAAAAGTTTTTCCTCTCAAGATTTATCATGAAAGAAAGGAAGAAATGAATGGAGAAAATGCTGTAATTTCTCTTTTTAATAGTCCTCACATGAAGAGGAATAGGGGTATTTAAAAAGAAATGGTAAGTAAAGTCAAATTTGAATAAAAATATTAATCTAATATTAACTTATGAACTAATAATTTATTATATTTGAAAAATAATTCTTTTATATTAATGAAATATAAGTTTTGAACGGTTATAAAACGGCTAGCCCATGGACAAGTCACAAAATCTTCATATACATCCAAAAAATGGCTACCCGAAAAATAATATTAAAATTGGATTATATTTAGAAATTCATTATGAATTCAATATAACTCCAAATAGGTCATATAGCCTAATGAAACAAAAATTAATCCAAGTTTTTATTAAAATAATATCATATTCAACAAAATAAAAACTTATGCTTATTTTTATATATTTAAAGATATATTAAATATTCATACAATAAGATGATGTACTTTAGACAAAATTAATTATATATCAGTAAATTTATATGAAACAAGTTTAATTTAAAATGAATTTATCACAAAAGCTTATTACATTTAATTTTTCTGATTAATTATCTTTTCATAATTGATAATAATGATGCTTATAAAATTATTTAATAAAGGAATCTTACAGATTTCTAAATTAAACTTATTATCCTTAATTAATAATATGAAATCATTTTAATTAATAGATATTTAAGTTGTGAGCAAATCAAACAATGCAAGTAAATATTAATGGACCTCTAACATACTCCTACGTTAATATTAAAATGTTCAAGTTGTCCATCTTAAGTTCTTTTAGCTCAAATTTTGATTGAACTTGAGTTATGCAATGTAAATCCCATATAAGCAATCATCATGCACATCCATCAAATCATTACATCTAAAATACTTAGCACACAAATTAGAATATTCAAGCATATATTTGTTATCATCAAAATATATAGAATAAGTCATGAGGTAGATCAACAATTACTAGACTTTCAAGATATAATGTATAGTACTAGTCTCAATATAAATCTCAACTTAGAATTAATTTGTTGCACTTATTTTATTTTTTTTACCTTAATAGACTGAGCTTGATTGAGCATTTGACGATTAACATTATAATTGTTCATGAGCTAAGTTCATTAGAGTTAAATATAGGTGATTGCATTTTATTTCTCAATCATAATTTTACTATCATAAATATCTTTATATCAACAAATATCAATTTTTTTAGGTATTTACATTTAGTTGCTTGTGTGCTTTTGGTGTTAGTAGTTTAATCATTATAGCATATGTAGATGAGTGCCTCATTTCTATTGAGCTTCATAGTTCACCATTCATTTTTATTTATATATTTATTATTTATGTTTACTATTTGACTATGAGAGTCTCACTTAATAGGATTTCAATATAAGTCTACATTGTTTTGTTGTACACCAAATCCATTACCCCTTGATTTGCTTTACTCATCTGGCTCAATTTAAGTTCGATCGTAGCCAACTTAGGCACATTAGTTGGCTTATTATTTTTTATCCGAACTCAAATAAACCCACAATAAATTTAACTATCGATCAGTTACTTATCAACGGGCCAAATTTAGAGTTCAATGTACGAATAATATAGGCGATGAGGTCGCGACCTAATTGCTCCACCATATGTGACATTACAATTATTGATAGATTGAGCAAAATGTTTGTCATATGGATGCCATTCTTCACAAATGTTGCTTTATGATTGAATTGCTATATGACATTCCTCTATGCTCCTTAGTTGTGCTAGCAAGCATCTTTGTTGCCATTGCTCCCATCAATTCTTTCTTTCCAAGAGTAATGAGAGTTAGCAATACTTGTAATATGAACTGTTAAGACCACTCAACATGACTTGGAGGAATATTTCTCCATCATGCATGATATGCATAATATGATTGTATTATTGCTTCTTTGAAAGCACTTAAAAGTTTCTTTGTAAGGATACTTAGGGTCTGTTTGGAAAAGCTTTTTAGTTGTTTTATTTTTTAGCTAACAATCATAATTTTATTTGATCTGCTTTTTAGAAATTTTTGTAATGAAAAGTTATATTTTGTAAATAGAATCGCTAAATTATTTTAAACACAACAACTTTACATTCAACTTTATAAAACGTGCAGCCGTTTCAAACAAAGAATTAATGTGATTATAAAATATTTTAATTATTTAAAAATATATTGTGTATTCACTGACCTCCTTTAGCAAATATAATTGTTCAACAAATTTAGGATTCATTTGGAACAACTTTCTTATTGCTTTTTAAAATAATTTTTTAACACAAAATTTTATTGTTAAAAAAAATTTGGTATTTGAAAACAGCTTTAGAAAGCTATAAAAAAGTTATCCCAAACAAAGCCTTAGCTCACTTTTTTTCACCACGTGCCAAAAACCAAATCATTTTAAAATTTCCTCAAGAATGTGTTGAATCTCAACCCAATTAAATTTTGATATTATGAATTTAAAATATAAAATTGAAATTGAGCATTCATCCTCAATATCTAATTTTTTTAAAGATATTTCGATTAATAATAAAATATATCAAAAAATTTCAAAATTATACGAGAAACTAATTGTAAGTTCATAAACTTTAATGTGATTTGAAATATAGATTATTGATGATTTTTAAATTTTATTTGACAATTTTGATTGATAAAACAAATGGATAAATTAAGACTTTAAGAGGATTTTATAAGCTATCAAATGATCCTTAGTTTCTTCGCATGTTCAATAAATTATAAAGTTATAATAAATATTAATGAAATTTGCCTTGATTCATCATTATTTATTTTAAATATTATTTTATCAATATATTTAACCAAAAAATATGGGATGTTTATATGTTTGATACAATTACATAAATTAAAATTAAATAAACTAATAAACAAGCATCAAATGAATACTTCACATACTACAAATAATTATATTCATAAACATAAATAAACAAATAAAATAATATTCAAACTTGTTTAACAACATTCAAATTTATTTACTTAGCCAAATAAATAAACATAAATAAATATTACTCCAATGAGCATCAAGCTATTCATCCAATACACTCATTTGTTTACATGTCTACCCACATGATACAAAGGTAATACGAGAATAACTCGATCGATCCCGACCATCCATTATGTAAATCATGATCACAAATAAAAATTGGTACACATTTTTACTGGTTACTATCTACACTAAGGCTTTGTTTAGGACGTCTTTCTTACTGCTTATTAAAATAGTTTTTTAGTACAAAAGTTAAAATTTTTGTACTCGAAAGCTGCTTTAAAAAGCAGTAAAAAAACCGTCCTAAATGAAGTTTAAGGCTTTGTTTGGAACTGTTTTCTTTCTACTTTCTAAAGCAGCTTTCAAGTACAAAAATTTAGTGAATCCTAAATTTTTGTACTAGAAACCTGCTTTAGAAAGCAGCAAGAAAATTGTCTCAAACGAAACTTAAGAACAACAAAAATGTAACAAATTCTGTAATCATCCAGATTAGAAGAGAATCAAACAGTTTACTCAATTTATAACCTTGCAAAACAAAAAACAAAGAACAATACATTCCTTCACACCCCCAAACATCATAGGCTCTAATTTACAATACCTGACAAAAACGGAACTGTACAATATATGACACTGTATTTAGAGAACTTTAAGTATGTATCAACTCATAATCATCAGTCAGGAAAGCAGTAAGTGTTTTTTGAGACTATCATCTGTACTAAACTATATTGCAAAGGATAGGATTGCCTGTTCATAAAAATAAAAAGGTTATTTGTTGCAGCTATAACCAAAAAGGAAAATGTTTCATAAAGTAAAACAAATATTCAATTGTAGAACATAAGAAGAAAGATTTTTAAATGAAGAGTTTCTTTATAACAATAACTAAGACATCATTCATAAGCTTATTTGATTGACAAGCAGGGAAAAAAGACCGAATGTAAAAATTTAAATGGTGCAGCTACAAATTCAACATTCTTTAGATTAAGGTTTCGTTTGAGACGGTTTTCATACTGCTTCTTAAAGCAGCTTTTTAGTATAAAAATTTTAATTTTTAAACTAAAAAAACGTTTTAAAAAGCAATAAAAAAGCCATTCCAAACGAAGGACGGTTTTCGCACTGCTTCTCAAAACAGCTTATTTAAATGATTTCATATTAAAATATAAACAAAATAAAAAATAAAACAGTAGTAATCACACACAACCCCTATAATTATGTAAGTTTTGTTTTATTTGTGATCAAACGATATTTTAAGTTCTTTAATTATGGATGTTTTAATTTAACAAAGAGACTGACTATTTTTTACTTTTACATTTTTTTTGGTTTAATTAACATGTAATAAAAAATGACAACAATGTGCTTCTATGATATATGCGTCCAGGAGTATTCGCGGCGATAGAGAAATATAAAGTTTAACGTCTTAGCGTTGTACGAAAATCCGGCAGCAATCAGAAATGAGAAAGGGTCCAGCATTTATGAGACATCCCGAATTTTACGTGGAAAACCCCTAAAAAGGGGGGAAAAACCACGGGGCCTAGCCCAGTTTGAATGAATCCACTAGTATTGTAGTCGATTACAAATGAGGCCCTTCCTTAGGAGAAGGCCTTAGCTTGATACACATTGTATGAAGTACATTACATGTTGAGAATACAAAGAGTCACTGTTGACGTATTCGCTTTGTTGGAAGGACTGTAGTTGACGTAAGTCAGGAGGATCGTAGTCAGCTGGCGACGGAGGTCGGAAGGATTGTAGTCGGCAGACGACGTAAGTCAGGAGAATCGTAGTCGGCTGGCGACGGAGGTTAAAAGAACTGTGTCTGACGATGAAGGTCAGAAGGACGGCGTTAGGGAGAAGTCTAACAATGGGAAGAAATCCATCTTCGAATAAACTTCCAGCGAAAGTCCGATAACCGGTAGAAGTCTGGTGTCGGGTAGAAACTTGGCGAAGAGTGAAGGTCCGGCGTCGGGTAAAAGTCCGACGTCTGTTGGTGGATGAGGAGAACCCCGGCATCACTTGGGCGGAGTTTCGGTGTCAGGAGGGAACTCTGTCGTTAATTGGGAAGAATTTCAGCATCACGTGGAAGTTTGACAGAATTTCGGCGTTCTCTCAAATATCCCGCAGATTCCCGGCGTGTTCGGGCGATGGGAAGAACTCCGGCGGTGGTCGAGGAGGAGCTGACTCTCCTTCCCCTTCTCTTCTTCTTCTCTTCTCTTTGCTTGGATCCCTTCTTATGGAGAATGAGGGCTATATTTATAGTTTTTCTGGAGTGGCATGACTTGTAAATAGCCGCGGGATCAGGGGCAAATAGGGAGTGGCCGAATTGACGGCTGATATTGAATCCTTTGATTGTACACCACTCGTTGGACATTTGAGGGCCTTAGTGATGTCGGAATCCGGCGATCTTGGGCTCGTTGGATTCGTCTCGTCGAGCCGTTAGATTCGAGTATAAGCTCGTTAAAATCGGGGACCGTTTAGTAACTCAAATTGTGGTTTGAACCTTCCAACAGCGCTTCGGGTCCTTGATTTGGACCCATTTGGGCTCGGATTGGGTTGAATTTGGTGTCGTTGGGTTCGTATTTCCGAGACGCTGAGTTTGACTGTAAGCTTGCTGAAATCAGAGTTCGGGTGCTTCCAGATTTAATTTTTTAAGTTTCCGGGTTGGTTTTTTCTCGAGATTCGTGCCCTATCAAGATAATTTCGTGATGACCTATCAATATATATAACCACTATGGAATTCAAAAATAAGGAAAAACATTCCGTTAAACAATATTTTTATAAAATGATCATCAAGCAATGCATACCTCTGTAATAGATACTAACAAAATCTCATCTTGTCTAGAAAGCTTCTTACGTTTTGGTACTTTCGTTTGAGACTGTAATATGTTCAGCTGCTCGCGCATCTGCTTCAGTAAGTTTAATTGCTCATTGTTTCTCTTTGATTCTTCTTCCTTCATAACCCATTGATCATTCTCAAGCTTCTGCACCCTTTGTTTTAGCTCCTCAACATCACTATGACATCCAGTAATCTCACTACTCTGAAGAGAATTCATGAAAACTCCTTTCCCTATGGTTGGATATTTCATTGGTGTCCTGTTAGTTAAATCATCACCTAATGATTCTATAAGAACATTCTGCACAGCTCCAATAGAAGTTTTACATGAACCAGACTTGCAAGACTCATTGGTGGTACTATTTGGAATTTCATAGATGTCCTGTATATTCGTCGAGTGACTTGTCTCTCCAGTTGAATCTTTCTCCAGATATGAGAAGCTGAATGAATCAAGCTCTAATCTGTGCTTTTGAGATGGCAAACTTGAACAATAGCTGCATTTTGAATTTATCTGTATGCTTTTGAGATCTTCTTTTACTTCTTGTAATTCTGAATTGGAAGCAACTTCTTCAATAATGGATTTGTTAGGAAAGAATTCGGTCCTTTGTTCACTGAGCTGTTTTGAGCACTCACCAGTCTCACTCCATATTGAAGGTACAGAAGGAATTAAAGGTTCATTCTTATCAATGATATCGAAACCGAAATTCGAACTATCAAGCCAACCGGAAGGCATAGATATATGCCTTCTAAATCTATCATTAGATCCTGTCACCTTCAAAAAGGTATTATTTACACTCTCAAACATGTTGGCCTCCTTGACATAATCAGCATTACTTATGCCAACTCTTATTATATTTTGCCTATAGGACTGCACTTGAAACTTGAGAGCTGCAATCTCAATCTCTTTTTCAAGTATAGTTTCTTTGAGAAATGCTAATGATTCCTCGGCATGGATCATCTTTGCCTCTGCCATTCTTTTGTACTGACTAGCTTCCATCTTCTCCATAGCCCTTTCTTCTTGAAGGCGAAAGATCATCGAAAGAGCCTCATCAACCCCGGATGCTGCAGCTTTTCTTTCCTCCTCAAGTTCAGCAGAAAGTTCTTGTATTGATTGAGCTTGCTTGTAAAGGGCTTCTTTTAAAGAAATAACCTCAGCTTCAGCCATGGTTTAGGACAAACCACCTTGAATGGGGTACCACCCTGAGAGAGGAAAACATGTTAGAACCAACTATAAGTACAATATGTTGTATTGGAAATATCAAGTACTTGATACTCATTTCTGAGCTTAATATTTTGGTCTAAAATGTGTTTGAAAATTGATTCCAGAGGCATTACATAATGACTGCCCAAGATGACCATACTAGTGCCTCAAAGGATAGGCAAAACATGAAAAGAATTGAAGCTACAGAGTTTGAGCTGTCAATACATGAAGAGAAGATGAAAAGGTTACAAGAAATATAATTGAAACAGTTGAGCAAACAATTGCCATTTAGGAGCGAGAATTTATAGTTATCATGGATTCATATATGCAGTGCAATCATCCTTTAAAGAGGATGTTAAGGTCAAAAAAGATCAGGCCATTCAAGCTCATGAGCTACCATGAGCTAAAAGATGAAGAGAAGAGGCCAAATCAAATCATTTAAAACCTAATCGAGATCATGAAGGAGCTCTCCACAAAATACTACATGGAAATAATGCTTGGACGTCTTAGTCATGATAGGATGAGGATTAAGACTTCGTTTAAGATAGCTTTCTTTCAGCTTTTTAAAACGGTTTATTAGTACAAAAATTTCTTGAACTCGAATTTATGTGCTGGAAAGTTGTTTTAGAAAGCAGTAAGGAAGCTATCCCAAACGAAGCCAAAATCATATTTGCCATAACCAATTAAAATTTTATTTCTTTTTTAATTAATTATAAAAGCTATTAAGATAATTAGATGCCTTATCTATTAATTTATCTAGTTATATGATTAGGGACTGAATATTATAAATTATCTTATCTTTTATGTTATAATTAGAAAACTATAAACAACTCATTATATCAAGCTTTTTTCTTTTATTCATCAATTGAAGAATCAAGTAATCTCTTGCTCTGGTAGTGAGGCCAATAGGAACTAGAAGCCAAGGTAGTGAGGCCAAATTAAGAAAAAAAGAATGAATGATGAGACCAATCAAGAAAAAAGGATCCAAGTAGAATGATAAGCGAAGGGTAAAACAATTCCAACATCAAGGAGCCATCAAAAGTTTGGTAAATATCTAATTTACTCTCTAAATAAATTATCCATTAAGAATTATTTCATGATTTTTAAATCTTAATCAAGGTGCGCATATACATGGGCCAACACCCACTTCTAATTATTCTTTTACTCTCTCGTTTTAACTAACCAAGTGCAAAAAAATCCTTCAGAGTTCAATAAAGATAGCGCTTTTGCTTCGAATCCAACATTTGTTACTTGAATTCTCACTTCTTCTATCTAGCAAGGTTTCACCCTAAAGATTTGCCACTGATCAACCTTCATACTGAGAGAGCCAATCTCCAAAGGCCAAAAGCAGTCCTTTAGAAACTTTACTAATTCATTTCACATATATGCTTTCTTTATATTCCTTCCATTATTTATGGTTATTTCAGCAGCTGATTTCATCGTCAATTTCATCTCAATACAACTACTCATACCACGCAAACTATTTAAATAAAATAAAATAAAATAAAATAAATATTGAGATATTGCCAGGCAAAAACATTAATGTCCACTATAGATCAATACAAAAAAAACTAAAAAAATGTCAAAAAACATGCTAAATCACTCCTAACTTCAGCATCTCCACCACTGCCATGGAGCTCACATTCATCATATAAGAACAGGATAGGAGAGACTGAAGCAACAAAGAAGAAGGAACAAAAAATGAAAAAAACAACTTTTCCCTTGATGTGCGTCTCAGGTGATATTTAAATCGAAATAAGAGAACTTCGAAAGCCAAGCGAAGAGATGTTCATAGCTCAAACCTGATCAAGCGAAATTTCTCTCTCTAGAGTCTAGCCCCTCAAAAAGCCAGCATCGGAATCCTAAAAGGGAAGAGAAGAGGAAAGGAAAGGAGTAAAGTTGTACCAACTTTCTAAATTGTTCTTATTCGCTGACTATTTATTTTGCCAATATTTTTTTTGGCGCAAAGAGGAGAGGCATTTTCCCTGCAGACTACCATATCAGTCCAAATTTCCTTCAAATAGCGTTACTCTAGTACATATTATATGAGTACTATTTTGGGGAAAATATATATGAGCATTGAGTAACCTTTTACTTAAACAAAATATTAATTTAAATTTAAGTTAATTTTTTTTTTACGATGATCAAAATTAAATATTTAAAATGTTAGAGTTATTCTATTAGAATTATTATTTAGTATTTATAATAAAATTTTATAATATTTTTTGTCTCTCCTCTCTCTCTCTCTCTCTTAAAACTAAATGTGTTAATTTTATGAATTAATCGTATTGTATAATCTGGGTAAAATTAAAATTAATTAAACCACTTAATGAAAAAATAATTTTAAATTAATCATATTGTATGATTCAAATCATATAGTACAATCAGTTGTAATAAGAAAATCCCGCAGCCAATCATATATTAGGCAATATTTTAAAATTTGAAAAATAAACTATTCGAGTTATAAGATTACAATCATACTATATGATGTAATTAACACTTTCCTAATCTAATCATATAATTAAACAATCAAATTTGAATTAATTGAGATTTGAGATCATATTGTATGATGTCCATCTTCGTACAGTATACCCTGATTATATAGGTCACAGGATGATATTTAATTATCAGCAATCATATGGAACAAAAATCTAATTCGATTGAACTAATCATATTGTATGACTTGTGATCTCATATTGGACAATAAATTCAAGTCTTTGAACTAATCGTATAGACCCTTGTTCAATGTATATCACTGACATGATATATTAAACTAATCGTACTATACGATTAGAGTCGGTTGACTTGAACATTTATGATTTTTTGGAAGCCTTGTATTTAAGCTCTATTATTAGACTTTGTAAATGTCTTTGGTTGTTTAAAGAATTCAAAGAAAGTTCAGTGTAAGAGCTCGTCTTCTTGAGAAAACATGAAGAGAGAGAGCTTAGAACTTGTGAGAGAAAGGTGGAGAAGTTGAGTGGGAGGGAGAAGCAATGTGAGGGGGTTTCACACGGTTGCTCCAAACAAACTTATACCTTAGGTCCTCCATGTGTCTTCGTTGATCTTAAGGGAAGCTTTGTTGAATAAAGCTTTCAAAGCTAAAGATCGTCGGCACTCTACCACATCGAGAGCAGGTGAAAGGGTAAAAAGTATTTCAAAGCTCTGTCTCAGCCGAGGATGAAAAGGTTTGGTTCTTTACATCACCAAGAGGGTAAAAGGATTTTAATTCTTTGCCTCACCAAAAAGGTGAAAAAGATTTCGGTTCTCAGCCGCACTACATAAGGATGGAAGTGATTGTGTAAAGATTTCGTTACCTTATTGTGGGAGCAAAAGGAGAATCACTAAATGTTTAATGCAACACATAGAGTGGAGGACTTCAGGCAGTGGACCACTATTAAATTTATGGTGTGCTCATTTCTTTTTCTTCTTGCATTTTATTGCTTACATTTTTAATTTCCTACATGTTATATTCTACCAAATATGGGTTGAAAGCATTGTGATGGTTTTGAATTAATTTTTTAGAGAAAACTAAAAAAATATAAAAGAAAATAATCTAAAAAATGTTCATATTTGTGTTTTCTATAGTATCAAAACAAAAGAAATTTTTATTTTAACTTTATATCATTAGCTTCTGCATTATTAGATCAATCTCTGAACGTACTTTTAAATTGGATGTTAAATATTTTTTTAAAGAAGTAATTTAAAAAAGAAAAATTAAAAACACCAATTTGCAAACCCCCCCCCCCCCTTGATGTGCCTTGGGTAGTTCAACTAGGTTTTAGCAATCTCATTCGAAGTTCAATTTGTGTTAGAGAAGGTCTTAGAATTAGTGATTTAAAAATTCTTGAGAAAATACTCATGACATATCTTAGGAATATGAATATCATGGAGGGTTATTCTATAACTAGTCCATCGTTATTCAATAATGTACCGTATAACTTTTGTAAAGTTCGCATGTCTATATTTTTGCAATCTATTGACTATCACATGGGGCACATGATTCAAGTAGGATATACTCCATCTCGCATTGCTAATGGCATCAAGAAAGAAATTATTTTTAATGAATGTTTCTTTGTGGATAGAGAATATTCTCAACTTAATATAAAATTTCTAAATTATTATTTTTTGTGTCTTAAAGTTTGAGGATTATATGTGGGTTTCTTCATTTACAATAGGTAAAGAAATCTGGGATATGTATCACTTATGAATGAACCACCGAGGTTAATTAGTCTAGGCTAAATATTTTGCTAAATGAATATGAACTCTTTCACATGAAACATAATGAGACTATTACGACATGTATACTATGTTTACTCAAATAGTGACATCTCTACATGCACTAGGGAGAGAATTATCTAACTCTAAAAAGTTCAAAAAGATTTTATGTTGCATACCTGATAGTTGTGATGCAAAAGTAACTTCCATCTATTAATCTAAAGACTTAAATATATATTTTATTGATAGTCTACTTGGCTCTCTCATTGCTTATGAACAAAAAAATAAGTCAAAGATTCCTTAATGCAGGTGATAGGAGGAAGGAGAAAACAGTGGTGCTGAAGGCCAACAACATAGATAGTATTAGCTCTGTAGCTGATGGAGATGGCAATATAACATTAATGACCTAAAAGTTCAAAAACTTTCTAATGAAAAAACAAAGACGTCATCAAGATTGGAATAAAGGAAAATCAGGTAGAATTAATAAAGTTTTTTCTAACGCTATTTATTTTGAATGCAGGATGTTTGGGCATTGAGGTTCGACTGCCCAAATTTGAGAAGCCACCCTAAGAAGGAGAAAAGTGAAGAAAAATCAAGTGCTAAGAAGTGTGATGAAAGAGCGAATGTTGGAAGGGGGAAATATTGAATGCAGAAAGCCTTCTAGGTAGACTCTGCCTTGACTTTATCAAAACAAGAACCATAGGAGAATGTAACAAATCTATGTCTTATGGTGAATGATAATCTTATTAATTCTGATCAAGAAGAGGTATGCCAACTATCCACTGACGAGTTATTTACTATTTCTGTGAAAATTTATGACTCATATAAGAAACTAAAAAAATCTACATGCATGTCTAAACAATGAATTTGAAGATTTAAAACTCAAGCATGGCACATTAGTTAGAGAGCATGCAGATCTTAAATATAAGTATATATCATTGGATAAAAAATATGCATCATTACTATATGATTTTAATGACTTAAATAAAAAACATCTTGAATTAAGTCACATTACTCCTTGAAAAATGAGCATATGTAGTTAGAAAAAGCATATATGAAATTAGAGATAGTTGAATTGAAATTATACTATAATGAGCATGAATTAGAATTTAATGTTAAAAGTTAAAAGAGTGTTAAGTGATTTTTAAAAAAGAAAATATTTGCAGTTTAAAATAACACACCACTACCTATATTAGTACATAAGCCATAATCTCACAAGTCTATAGGAAGAAGCACTATCTCCCACTGTTGGCCTCTAAAAGGACACCACTCAGCAAAGACATAATGCAAAGGGTATGATCGCACTATCCCGTAGGACAAAATGGTCGCAAGTCTTTGCACTCTTCGCAAGTAGGCGAATGGAAGGGCAGATAAGATCATACATACGATTAACAATTTAGGATAGCGACTTTCTCCTACGCACCTCGATGGGTAATAATATGTATAACCTAATCAAAGTTGTGAGATTTCTCTCACCGGATACATCAGCTTGAGTGAGGTTTATTTGATGTGGGATTCAATTTTCCATAGGTATAAGCCCTAGTGGTTAATTACATCTTAAGTTGGGGCCTAAGAAGACTCTCGATTAAGGACTATACATTACTCTCTCAGATGGGATTGACACATAGAGAGGAGTCTAGGAACTTCCAATTCAAAGGGAAAGAAAGGCTATACTTGGCTTAGTCAACATGCACGACTTGCATCATCATCTAGAAGGGCTGAGGTGGGGAAAAGAAATAGGAGAAAAGATAGCAATGCACTCTGAGCATACAAGAGAGAAAATGGAGGTGGCATCATCCATATAACATAGATAGGTGGGATTTATAGCTTCTAAAGGATAAAGGACTTACTCGCCGATGAGGCATACTACGAGACACCAATAATAGTAGCTTTGAACTCTAAATCTAAAGTGGGTTTAATATTCTACATGTAATACTAATACCCGTGTCCAAGAAAGTGTATTTTGGACTTATATCTTGCCTAAAAAGGAAAGCCAGCTAACCACTAAGTTATATAAAATCCATATTGTCATGTCTTTATGAAAGATGGGTGTGTGGCTGAGTCTTTGAAAATTAAGGCTGACTTCTATAGAGGTTCATAAGTAGCCTTTTACTTATGAAGGGTAGTATGCTTCTAAAACTATTGTAGTTAAATTTTAATTTTAATTAGTTTTTAATGCAATGCATAATAGTTAAAATATCCAAATCAAGAATACATGAAATTTAAAAAGACTTATAAAAATAATTTTTTTAGAAGACTAAGCTTCCTCAGGTTCAGCACCTCATCCTTATAGGTTGAATTATCTGAACTCTGCCCACAAGTAGGGAAGTGTCTAAACAAGGAAAGAGAGGAATGCATTAAGATGCATGTTACCCAGGATGACCTCCAGCTCATTCCCTAAATCGTTATCTTTCTATGTTATTTAATCTTTTAAATTTTGAATCTTAATAATGAGTAGACAAGTTTTACCCCTAAAAAGTCTAACGAAATTAGGCACATACATAAGCAAAAAAGAAACATTTAAAAAACATGCAATTTTTTGCATAAATAAAGTAAACAAATCAATAAAATAAAACCATCA